CTCTCTCTCTCTCTCTCTCTCTCTCTCTCTCTCTCTCTCTCTCTCTCTCTCTCTCTCTCTCTGTCTCTCTCTCTCTCTCTCTGTCTCTCTCTCTCGCTCGCTCGCTCGCTCTCTCGAACACACACTCACACACAAAGAAAAGCAACCAGATGCGTGCTCACGTTCCTGCTTCTTCCAACGACGCGACTGCTGTCGCTCTCCCACCGCGTGCTGTTCCTTGGCGATGACAAGGATGAAGATCGTGTCGCCTTGTCCCGACTGGGCAAGGCGACATTCCTCACGCCAGTACCCTTCAGCGAGGTGGTGCAACGAGCAGGCTGCCACTACGATTGTGGTACGATAATCTGATAACTTCGATGTTCACAGTGCGTTGGATGGTACCACGCACGGAGCGGATTTCGATCACTGCGAATGTCCAATTTCAGCGAAATAGTGTCGCGTGCAGCATGGTCCCACTATTTCGCTGAAATTGGGACCTGGGGCTAGGTCCCACTTCCACGAATTAAGCGATATTGACCGTAGATAGCAAGGATCAACGGCCACAATCTCTTAATCCGTGCAAGTGGGACCTTGCCCCTGGTCACAGCTGCTCCCACGTCTGTTCTTTGCGTCTTTTTGCAAAATGTAAACGCTAAGCAAAGACTGGCCAGCCAATCTCATCAGGGCAACCAACGCTCAAGACGCACCTGTGAGCGCTGTGTGCTGCTCATGGTACACAGTCCAAGTCGTAGTTAAAGTACGCAGTCCGAGGTGCGCGGCGATGTCCCACTGCCAATCCTCTTTGCTACCGGTAGTGGCAGCTCGCCCCCGGTCGCTCATGGGACTGACATGCAGCAACCGCGATTCCTCCTTTCCGACATTAGATGACCATAAGATCAACGGCTGGAAAAGGCGAGCACAGGGAGCTCGGACCGCTCCCGTGGTTCAATCCCACGACCTGCGGCGAGGTCCCACTAGCTGACAGGATCGAATTGAACGCGTGAATGTGGACGTGTTTCTTCAGAGTATGCAGAAAAGCAGATCGAGCATCATTTTCTGCACACCTCTGGACAAACACATCCAGATCCAGGTTTCGAATCCAATCCTCTTTGCTCTTGGGACCTCGCCCGTACAGTAGATTCCTGCTATCAAACTCACTCTCTGGGTGACGTGGACGCTGCATGGGCAGTCTTCGAGCAATCCCTTCTTTTCTCATTCGGTCCAAGTTCCCCTCGATACTGGTAGGGTGACGGCCCTGAGTGCTGGTCACACTAAGGTAGGATAGTAGGGATAGGGGATACGCTAGGAGTATTGACGTGAGGTTGGGATGGGTGGTGGCCTCGCCTTCCTAGAGCGACCAGGGTAGACTACTTCCGGCAATCAACGTGTGCCTAGTAACCGGCCTCTACAACACCCTGGACATTTATGGGGGGAAAAAAAAAAAAAAGAAAAAAAAAAAGAGAAAATCCCCGAGCATTTTTCAGGGATCAATATGTAGAGGGGCAAGGTCGGCCCACCGGGATTCTGTGGTGCTCGTCAGATGGGCCCTCGTAATCTACGGTTTAGATTAGAAAGAAGGGTCCGCACCTACTGCTCTGTGGCCACGTTGACAAAATACTCGGGCGAAATTCCACAGGCAAAAACGATTGGAATAAGTTTCTGAATCTGGATCTGTTTGCGGATTGGTGCAACAAACTGTAATTGATCTTCTTTTCTGCATCTCTGCGTGGGACACATCCAGATTCAGATACTTATTCCAATCCTCTTTGCCAATGGGATCTGGCCCCAAGTCCGCCGGAATTGTGACCCCCACCGAGTCAGCTGTTCCCTGCGTACCGCAAACCAAGCCCATTTAGATCTGAAAGGACAAAACTAACCCCATCAGAATGCCCCTGGGGAGAGGCTCCCCTATCGAAGAGGATTGGACTTAACCCCTTCGCAATTGAACTCCCTTTCTGCATCTCTTCGTAGAACCCGTCCAGATTCGGCCGCTTGATCCAGYCCTGTCTGCTGGTGGGGGTCCACGCCCCTTGGTTATCCGTTCGGATAAAAGGACTAAAGATGAATGCCCCTGGGCATCTGCACGTCTACTTGGACGTCACGCAGCTCGCCAAGTGCTTACCTCACGACGAGCTTCGTTTTTTTCTGCGATTCCGAAGCTGAGAGGTTCGTCCCCAGACCTGGGGCCTGGTCCCACTAGCAAGTGGTTTGGATTGAGTTCCTGAATCCGGACGTGATTCGCGCAGAGATGCAGAAAAGCAGACTAATCGCAACATTCTGACTCTCTCCACAACCACGTCCAGATTCCGGTATTAAATCATTGCTTCTCTGCTTATGGGACCAGGCTTTTGCTGATGGTTGACGTCGCCGCATCTTCTGACGAATACATCACCGCCACGCTCGCTGGACAGAACGAGGAATCATATGGATGGCTGTCAAGCCACAGACACCGCTTGCGAGCTCGTTCGGCAGAGAAGAAGAAGGCGAGTTCTTGAGTCCGCATCGGTCAACCGGGGGCAAGGTCCAACTTGCACGGATGAAGAGATTCTGGCCGTTGATCTTTGCTATCTACGATCAATATCGGTTAATTCGTGTAAGCGGGACCTAACCCCCGATCGATCGCGAGCACTCCTGTCTCATTTCTCTTTTCTTTTTTCTTTTTTCTTTTTTTTCATTTCTCTTTTTCCCCTTCTCCTTTCTCAACCATATCGTCTACCTGTTTTTTTTTTTTGTTTTTTTTTTTTAAATAAAGACAAGAAACTGTATTATTACCTCCACAAACAACCCGGAAAATCCTGCTGCGCCCTACCTGTTTTTCTACCTCACATCATAGATTAAAAAAAAATGAGGGTAAAGAACAAATATGCATGGGTCCTGGAGACCATCTCACGTAGATGTGTACATATCATGCATCATCTTCACACGCAGCGATCAATAGTATCAACCATAGACAAAGGTAGAGGAAAAGGGGACCGAGTTTCACTGCTTATATTATCAGACTTATGAATACAAAGTGTTTCAAAGTTCCCCTGAGTCCAGCGCTCATCAGCGCAACACCAGTCTCTTATCAACTCATCAATATGACTTTCCGTGAATCAGCGCTACTCCTGCAGATAACCTCCAGGTCATCAATGTGGTCACCACTCATCAGCACCACCTTTGCAGCCCACATTCAACTCAGGTAAGTATCTTCCATAGCCGAATCTTGAATGAACACTCTCAACCTCAATCCCTTCCTCCTACGATGCATACACACCCTTCATTCATGAGGATCTACTCTGAATACTACTCATAGCTACACATTAACCCACTACTACCAATGCTAACTTGCTGGGCAGCTATGGCTGCATCACTTCCAACATGCAATCCTCTTCCCTCACTCAGCGCATCTGCTTCCTCCAGCGCTGCTCCTACTGACTTAACGCACAAGTGCTCCAGCACTTCCACGCTGATACAGCCAGTGGAGATCTGGCCAGGAATGAGGCTGGCTGCCTCCTTTATACTCCTCGCTGGGTCTGCATTGGCTCAATTCAGCCTCTTTCCTTGTCCCAGACCCTGCATTGCATGTGTCCCAGTAGAGTCCCAATGAAATTCAACTGCTGCTGAGGCCWCCCGGCCTGAATTTGGACTTGAAAGTCTGGATCTGGATTGACCCCTGGACTTAGACCAGAACTGGGACTGTGCCTATTGACTTTACTTTCGGACAGGCACAACTCTCAACGAACAGACATTTACTGCTTGAACAAACACTTTACTTTGCACCAACAGGTACACTGCCTGCACGTACAGACACACCCTTACCCGAACAGACATGACATACACATCTCCTVGTGAACAGGTAAGTCTTTTGACAATGCCCTTTGCCTTAGCTTTAGATATGCCTGTTGATAGAGAGCTTGACCTTTGACCTGCTTTCACGTTTCTGAGCTCTGGCGAGATACCTTTTCACAATGCTTTACTTTTTCAAGGCCGGTGCTGCTTTATTTTACAAGGCCTGAGGCCTATATCGGGTAAAGGCCCTTTTACTCTCGCCGGCCTAAATTCGAAGTCCTCTGAGAATCATTTACCTATCAAGGATATGAATTCCTCTYCTTGCACTTTCGTATGCAGATACAATATGAGGTGCAGATTCTAACAGTTCTTCTTTTGTGAACCAGCGATCTTCACTAGGATCCTGGTATGCAAATCTCACCTTATACTGTCGTTGTGGTCTGCGTCTACGTCCGGTGTGGTAAGTACTTTCTGCAACAATCTTATCCACGTCATACTTCCCATCCATACTTGGAGGTATCGCTGATCGGCGACTTGGGAAGAGCTCATTCGTTACACAAGGTAAGAGCTTGGACGCATGGAACACTGGATATGTACGTAGATGAGGAGGAATTTCAATGACATATGAAGGACCATCCACATCTCCAATTACGTCTAGAATCTGCC